TGATAATCATACTCATAGCCATGTTAGTTAAGTCTTCTAGGTATATATAGATATATTTCAGATAGATAGTTAATCTTCAAATACTTCAAAGACCTACAAAATATGGCATTTAAAATATTTTAAAAATTTAGACTTTCTGGACAGTGAGACATGTCTGCATGTCTTCTGGCAGCATCGTTTTACTTCAGAGAGGAGAATGGGCGTTGAAGACACTCTGTATGGAGTTTATCTTTACCTTGACAAAAATAGCCATTTGGGCAAGAAACTGTTCTTGCCTGGACTGCTTGATCAACTGGACATGCAAGACCCATAAAAAGGTGACCACTAAACTTTGCTTGATAAAATGGTCCTTCAGGTTCCTGCTTCACAGAGGAAACTGCCAGACATTCTACAGGACACTAAAAAAAGTGACTGAGAGACTCTAGGCCTGTGGGCTAAGGACAGATGCCTCAACTTTACAAGAGAATTTTAGATGACTGTGCAGGCTGCCAGCTGTCTCTGTCTACCCTACAAGACTCCTAAAAGTTGCTTATATCCTTTTCCCATTTCTCAGGTAATAGTATATCCTTCTGAGGTCTTTGATGTAGTTAAAGCTAGATAGTTACAATTTTCCTTAGTTATGATAAGAGATAAGTTAGATATAAAACCTTAGACTCATAAATATAAAATAGATAAGATATCTTCTTTAATTTTGCCAAATAAACTAGTTATTATAAATAGACTAGATATTATAACTGTAATTCTTGCTTGATAATTGTTTTTTTAATCTGTAATTTTACTATGTAAAAGTTAAAACCTTCCTTTTTGAAAAAAAAAAAAAAGAAGAAAAGGGGCAAGTGCTATGGATATTGTTCTGTAAAAATAAAACACTGATTGGCCAGTGGCCGGGCAGGCAGTATAGGCAGGACAAGGAGAGAGGAGAATTCTGGGAAGTGAAAGGCTGAGTGAGAGAGACACTGCCAGCTGCCACCATGAGAAGCAGCATGTGAAGATGACGGTATGCCATGAGCCATGTGGCAAGGTATAGATTTATAGAAATGGGTTAATTTAAGATATAAGAACAGTTAGCAAGAAGCCTGTCATGGCCATACAGTTTGTAAATAATATAAGCGTCTGTGTGTTTATTTTATAAATGGGCTGTTGGACTGCTGGGGGTCGACAGGACCCAGAGAGAAGCTCTCCAGCTACAAACAGATTTAACAAATCAATTTTTCCAGTGTTTTCTTATTTTTAAACCCTTTGTGTATATTATCCTGTTTAATATTTATAGTAATTGTGAAGTGAGCAAATTATGACTATATTCATTTGAAAGATCTGTAAACTGATGCTCTAAACATTTAAGTAGATTATCTAAAGCCATACAATGAGATTGTGAACAGACCTAGCCTCATTACACATACGTTTATCTGGCCTGTTCCTAAGAAACTAGACTAAAATGCTTTACTCAGCCTAGCACTAAATATTTCCTTGTAAAACCAAAGGAAGAAAGACTATAGCATCATCAATCTTGAGAATGAGATCTATTTAGGAAGGTTTCTAGATGAGACTCAAGTAGCAATTGTGCACATGCAATTAAGAAATACTCAACTTAGTATGACATATTCTATAATTGTGCCTTGACAAAGATTCATGTTGGGATTGGACATGTAATTAGAAAATGTGAAGAGAACTTAATGCTTGTACACTTAGGGAATTCTCTGATATTTTTCCTTTCCAGTTTTCAATACCACTACTAATCAGGAGATCTTATCTGCCAGCCACCTTCTCTGAGGTTTTTATCGAGTATACAAATCTCCGGTTTCTTCATTTGCAGATTAATCTCAGCTATCTACACTCTGGGCTGAGGATCTTTCCAAGATCTTCCAGGGAACTTTACTGAGCATTCTCTCAATTTCTCACTATTAGTCTCAAGCCTCTTGGCAAGATTTCTACTTAAGCACTTGTTTCTAGAATGCTCAACTGTCAACCTTAAGACTTCATGCATTTATGTTCGTCTGTTTCTTAGGAAACCAGTAGGGAACTCTACTCAATTTGTAGCTGAATTTGTCAACTTACTAAATGAGCATCCTCTATTATTCTCACATTGCATGGTGAGTTTATATTTCCAACTTTCTATGTTAACATTTATCTGACTCTATTAATATTATCTGCCTCTATTAATAGTAATACTATATGTTCTATCAGCCAGAACCTGACATATTACCACATAAAAGGCATTTGTTATTTTAAAATACTATCATTGCCTTACTATAAATAATACATATTCAATCTCATCTTTTCTTAACTATATTTTCCTACTAATTATAAATTATCAAAATACATATTAAGGGCTTAAAAGAGGGAAAGGTGAAATAAATCATGCATTTTTGCTTGCATGATTTTCTTATTAGTGTTTCTGGTTGTGGACTGGTGTATACTATGCAAAGGGCTGGTGATGAAACTTATGTCAGACAAGTAGAAAGAGCCAACATGCCAGGTTTTATAAAACCTGTCTTGTGTGCCCTATTTATTTAAAATTTGTATCCAATCTACATATAGATAATTAATGTGCAGTGTGAATTCCCTTCCAAAATGTCAGTAGAGATCAAAGATACAATTTAAAATAGGAACTGATAAGAAACAGTTTGTAAAATCAAAAATCACTTACAGGTACCAGGAATTTTTTAATCTCTTCCAAGGCATGACTCATCCGTGAATAAGCTTCCCCAGGTGGAGCAAACACTTCAATTAATACATGCAGTTCATCACTCAGGTGTGCATACTTGGCCTCTCCACTCTTCCTCAGCTCTTCTTCCTGTGAAAAGGTTATTTTTAGAAAAACGGATCCACTCATTTTGCACATTCTGCATTGATTTAACATTTCCTGAGATTATGACAAAGGGCCACAATCTAAGTAAATTTTCCAAAAGTAAAAAAGCAGCTCTTGGAAAAATAAAAATCTGCTGCAAGCCAGTTGACAATTTCCAAATAATTCTTCTGGGTTGGAATCATCCACCACAGATTTAAATCAGCTAGGTGAAATGTTAACCTTCTGAAGGGGAGACACCTAAGTGCTGTTAATCCTTGCACATACATTGCTACATTTCTGAAGGACAAGGTTCTTTTGTGTATAGTATACAGTAGTACTTTGTATGCAGTATATAGTACTTACTGGCATTGCTGCTCTGGCAAAGAATAAAAGTTGGGTTCTCAGAATACATGTTGGGCAGATTACATTCACCTGAATTCACCTGTAAATCTAGCTCTTCTGTTCTCCACACACAACCCACCCCCACCCCCGCCTCCCCGCAAGAGCAGAGCTAAAAACCTGCATCCATGCGCCTGTTTGCTGGCTTAGCTACCCTTCTTCACTCTTACACAGTTCATGGCATAGCCTAGGGAATCATGCCACTTACAGTGGGCTGAGTCAAAAGACAATTAAGACAATCTCTCTTATGGATACACCCACAGGCCTATCTTAAGATAATTCTTCAGGGGAGACTCTCTTCCCAGGTGATTCTTCACTGTAGCAAGTTGGTATTTAAAATCAGGCACATGCCTTAATTTACTGAAGATCCTTTAAAAGAAGTTCAGCTGTACCTTAAAGGAGATCACTGTCTGACCTGAAGAAGGAATATTGCTGTATGGGCTCAAGTGGTCTGAGCAATGCACATCAGGGGGCACCTCCAGCAGAGGGAGAGTCTTCTCCCATCTACTGAATTTCATGTGCTCAACTTGATCTATTAGAAAATAATGAGCAGGATATATTCTCCTTGAAGATGAACAAACTAAAACAATATACATTAGACAAGAGGATGACTAGAATTTCTTCTAAAGTTAAAATTTTGTAACTCACCTATGGCTTGCATTCAGTTCTGGTACGTAAAACCTATGTGTTTGAAAATAGCGTTTCCCAAACAATTTGTCCTCTATGATGTATTTCCAGGACAAGAGTTTTTGAAAAGAGCAGAGTAGGAAAAAGGAAAGGATTTTGGAGACGGCAGTCTAGATGTGAATTAATAGCCACGGTATTTTCTATATGTGGAATGTGAGCCTAGATACTTAATTCTCTGAGCTTTCTAGCATTTTATCTGGAAAACGAGATAAGCTAAGTTGCTGTGGTGACACATGACTGTGGCCCTGCTACACTGGAGCTAAAGAAAGAGAAGCCAGTGTTCAAGACCCAAATGGGCGAAAGAGTGGGCTCCTATCCCACCTTACACAGATACAAAGACAAATGATAAACCATTAAGCCAGCTTTAGATTTCCATGCAAAAATGACACTTGGTAAAGCAGATAAGTTTCAGATAAATACCATACTGTTAATACTAGAGAAATTTAAGGTTTTTATTTCTTCTGGGAAGGACCAAATTGTTGTTGTTGTTGTTGTTGTTGTTTTAACCATTTGGCTTTTTGGGGGGCCCACCCCCCAGCTCCCAAATAAATCATATGGAGGCTTATTCTTTCTTATGAATGCCCAGCCTTAGCTTGGCTTATTTCTAGCCAGTTTTTCTTAACTTTAATGATCCCATCTACCTTTTCTCTCTGGGCGTTTATCTTTCTCCTATATACCTTCCTTTATTTCTTACTCCGTGGCTTGTTGTATAGCTGGGTGGCTGGCCCCTGGAGTCCTCCTCCGATTGCTCTTAGATCTTTTTTGCTCTCTTTTTCTCCTTCTATTTATTCTCTCTGCCTGCCAGTCCCACCTGCTTTTCTCCTGCCTTGTCATTGGTTGTTCAGCACTTTATTAGACCAATCAGGTATTTTAGACAGGCAAAGTAACAAAGCTTCACAGAGCTAAACAAATGCAACATAAAAGAATGCAACACATTTTTGCATCATTAAAACAAATGTTCCACACCATAAATAGATGTACCACATCTCAAAATAGTATTCCACAACAGCAAATCACTTGATTATGGTTTTCTTTTTATGACTTTTAAAATTAAATTTTTTAAAATTTTATTTCACTTCTTTGTAGATTTCACATCATGCACTCCAATCCTACTTATCTCCCTTTCCCCTCACATCTGCCTTCTGTCCATGGAACCTCTCCCCTAAAACAAAACAATATTTAAACAAAAAACAAACAAACAAACAAACAAAAAAAAAAACCCAAACAAACAAGCCACCCTGTGCCCTAAAAGGAGAAGAACCTTGTCATGGAAGCTATAGTATGGCCCATTGAGTCACACAGTTTACTCTTTAGTCCATTGATCTTTACTCCTACGCATTCATTTCTACGAGTTATTGGTCTGGTTTGAGGCCTCTGGCTTCTGCTGCACTATCAATAATGGGGTCTCTCTGGGGTTCCTATTGGATAGCCTGTTGTTGTCCTGTATCCTGGAAACCCTGCAATTTTGGATTTATAGGTTTCTCCCCTTGACATGCTCTAACAGTCCATAGATGAGGTGGATTTGGGGATGGGCTAACTCATAGCCCTGGTTCTGGGTCTGGGTGATAGCTGGGTTGATCAGTCTGCAAGCTTTCTCTCATCATCACTACCCAGCCTAGCTCTCTAACATTGCCTCACCTAGCTTACCCAATGCAGTCTACTGCAAGGGGAGGGGCCATTTCTCCTGTTCTCGGGTCCTCAGATCAGGCTCACCTGCGCTCAAACCACCAGGGCCAGCTCTACTGTTATGCCCAGGTGAGGTGCAGGGCCCTCTCTTCTGATTGATGCAGGGGATCATAGCATACAGGGGCGGGTTGCAGGATCAGCTCTCCTACTCTCACACCCTCAGGCCAGGCTCACCTGTCCCCAACAACAAGGTCAGCTCTAGTACTGTCCAGGTGGGGTGCAGGGCCCACTCTCCTGTGTGCTGCCGTTGGTGAGGGGCAGGGCTTGTTCTCTCACTCTCGTAATCCTAGGGCCAGATCTCTTGACCATTGGAGGCAGAGGGCGGAGGGCATCCATCCTTCCCTCACCCATGTTACCACAGGCAGAGGAAAGGGTGGGCAGGTCAGCCTCTGTTGCTTGCACACTGTCAGGGCTGGCTCGTCTGCATACCAGACAATAGGGTCAGCTTCAGTGTGATGCCCAGGTGAGTTGCAGACCTGTGGTGAGGGTTGGGGCCAGTTCTCCTCCAGCTTGGGGCAGGGCCAGCTATCCCAGAACCAGTGAAGGGCAGAGCAGATTTGGATCTCCACACTTGTTCCTGTGATCTCCTGTGCTAACACTGGCCATGGACATCATCACAAACCCCAGTTGCAGCAGGACCACAGACCCACGCATGGCCCTTGGCAGCAGCTCAGGCCTAGATGTCACCATGGCCCTGGAGGAAGCACAGGTCACTCAGGTCAGTATGGTCCTGGTGGCAGCATGGCCCTTGGATAGCAACATGGTCTCAGATGGCTGACTGGACCCTGGGCATCTGCAGAGCCCTTTGTGGTAACAAGAGTCATGGACATCACTCCAGATCCTGGCCACTGCAGGGCCATGGACCCAGACATAGCCACAGGCAGCATCCCAGGCCAAGATGTCTTCCATGGCCCTAGGTGGCAGCACAGGCTACCCAGCTCAGTATGACCCAGCAACAAAATGGTCCTTGGACACTGAGATGGTATCAGGTGGATGACTAGACACTGGTAATTCCCAAGGCCCTTAGTGGTAACAGGGGCTGTGGACATAAACTTAAACCCTGGCTGCTGTAGGGCCATTGACCCAGACATGTCCTTAGCAGCAGCCCTGGCCTGGACAACATGGACCCAGGTGAGAGGACAGGCCACTCGAATCATCATGGCTCTGGCAAGGTTTTCTTTTATGATTGAAGTTTTCTGTTAAGAATGCTTTGAATTCTAGAATGTGATATGTGTGACTCCAAAGTCACATTTTTAGGTCAACTGTATATTTTTAACATTTAATTCACTTGAGAGAATATCATCTCAAAAGTTACAAATAAAACGTTGCTGTGATAAAAGGAGGAGTATGAGTTGGATGCTAATTTAGGTGTTAAATCAATTCAACAAATAACAACATTAAGGGGTTATATTCTTGAATACTATTTTAAACTCAAAAGTTCAAATATTTTGGAAAAGTTGTCATCATTTTGTGTGTTAGATTCTTCAGCATGAAACAGTGGAATGCCATAGGCTGGGTGGCTCACATGCCACACTGCTGATTCTGTTGTCAGGGTGATCTGCCAGGCTTGTAGACAGCCCTCTGTATCTTCATGGGGGTCCAGAGAAGGTTCTGGTTTCTTCTTTGCTAATAAGGACACTGCTCCATAAAATTCCTATGCATCCTCTTCATGTCCTTTAACCTCAACAATCACACCAGGGATCCGTGCTTTCAGTTCGGGAAAGCACACATGCAGACATTTTACCCACTGTGCTGAGTGCACGGTCTAAGCTGGTAATGTCTGAGTAACTTGTAAGGCTATCATCTACAGTAGGTTAGAACTTGGCCACGTTATGCTGAAAGAAGAAATAGTGTGGCCGTTAACCCATCTAGTTTGTTTTATGGTAACCAGTGTGAATAATCCCAGTTTCTCCACATGTTAACATATAAATCGGCCAAACGTTGACTTCACTGTTTGGGATGTCTAACTGCTTACCCACAAAAGGCTGAGAAGTGGTGAGAATACTCACAGAGCAGGAAGTAACCACACATCACTATTGCTAAGTATTCTCATCATACTTATCTCACGTTCAAAACAATGAATCAAATTATATATGAACAAAGAAGTTCAGGTCTTCTAAGATCTGAATTAATTTTCCACAAGTAGCTTGACCAGTGACTCAAACAAACTAAATAATAGAAATGTTGAAAATGTATTGTGTACAGTATATGTAGTTTTATACTTTGGTTTTTTA